AAAAAACTTGTGAGTAAAAATTCTCTACTTTTAAAAATCAATAATNTTAAGTGTAAAGATGGGTTGTGTTTGGACGTGGATGGAACTTGTCGGTTATTGGGCATTTAATTTTTCAACGGAATTTGATTCTCTCTCTCTCTTTCCATGTCGGTTGGTGTAATTACTGTGCTAACTTTTGTGGTCTCGTGATTGAAAGAAGTGTTAATGATCATCGAATAAATTTATTCGAATAAATTTATTTGAGATTGTCGAATAAATTTATTGATCATATCTTATTTTATATGATATATATATAATAAAATAATTTTTATTTTTTATAGTTGAAATATTTTTAAATTTTATTTTAAAACTAATTTATTAACTAATATTAACGCTTCAAATATAATAAAGAATATAGACATCTAACGAGTGTATTTATGATGATTTTTTAAAAATATTTTTAAAACTTATAACTACTTATGAATACTTTAAAAAAAAATAGAATTTAGAATCACTCCATCATTACTGCCACACCACCACCACCACACCAACTGCCTCATCACCACCACCACCGCCATAGCAACTGCCTCACCATCGCCACCACTATTGTCGTCACCTCACCACCATCGTTATTGACAATATTGTCGTCATCCCATCACCACCACCACCATTGTCACCTACTACTGATTGTTATTATTGTCGTCCACCGTTACCACCCATTATAATTTTCATCGCTTTTAATTTTCTTTTTTAATTTTTTTTTAATTTTTTTGGGAGGGGATGAAGAAGAGGGACTTGAACTCTTAACCTCAAGAAAGACAAAGCCTTCATCCACCACTACCATTGTTGTTCACCACCATCCATCGCCGCCCACTATCACAATCAACCACCACCCATCATTGCCCACCATCGCTGTCAATCACTATCACCACCGTCACCCCCCACCACACTTACACTGCCACCACTGTTATTTACCGCAACCCATCACATTGTCATCTAAAAACACCCTTCGCCCACCATCACAATCAACACTACCAACCACCATCGTTGTCCCATCACCACCACTATCAACCACCTTTACCGTCGCCCACAACCACTACTATTGTTATCCATGGTTGTCACTACCATCATCGTCACCAAAAATTCCCAACCAGCATCACTATTGTCACTCGTGACTGTCACTATTACCTTGGTCATCGTCACCCACCATAAACCATCGCTGTCTTCCACCACCACCACTACCACTGTTTACTCCCACAACAACTGGTATTTAAATTATTTTCTTTTCTCTATGTTTGTAATTTGATTTAGATGTAAATATAAATATATGTATTGTTAACCATTTTTTTTATTATTCTTTATCTTCAGGCACAGACAATAATTAGTCATGTTATCTTATAGATGTGTTTTCATTTCCTTTTTTTTTTTTTTTATATTAGAGAAAATTTTAGTCACACATTTTTTAATTTACCATATCTTTAAAGACACTCATTTTATTATTCAAAAATATTATTAACATCATTTTTAGTTTATATTTAAACATTATTGACACCCCTACCATTAAACCACTATTTCTAACAAAAAAAAATATCTAAAATATCAAAATTACCCCTACATAACCCCCCAAATAATATTTATATATGAAATTTAATTAAAATTTGTTTCGATTAAAATTTATTTTTTTATATATTAAAATTTGAACTGATAAAAATTTATTTTTTTATGTATTAAAATTTTAATTCAAGCTAATTAATTTTTTTTATGTATTAAAATTTGAGTTTATTAAATTTTTTTATGTATTAAAATTTGAGTCGATTTGAACTCAACTTAAGTTGTTAGCGCCGATTAAAATTCGATTCGAATCGATCAAAATTTATATTTTGTACGTATTAAAATGCGGGCCAATTAAAATTCAATACGAGTTAATTAAAATTTGATTCGAGATGATTAAACAAAAATTTTAATAAACTCGAATCGGATTTTAATACATAAAAATTTCATAAAACATATGGATTCTCATTAAAGATAAGTCTATTTAAAGGAGTTATGGATGAAATTTTTCTTAAAATATATCATGAAAATTTAATAAAATTATATTTAAAGCCTTTAATTTGAAATGGGTCTTAGTAAAGATTTAAAAAATAAAGAGAGTGTTTTTAAAAATATGATAAAATAAAAAGAATGTGACTAAAATTTTTCTTTTATATTATTGTTAGGCTCCCGTTCATTTACACGAACATTAACTAACTTCTTTCCTGCTTGCATAAAAGTCATCCACCTTAGGATTAAGAAATTCATAATTTGACCTCAAGAAAATTTTTAAGTTTTAAACTCTATTTTTTATACCAAATCAAAGAGTTTTATTTTTCATTTGATAGGTATGAAAAAAGTTCAGGTTTAAGACTTTGGTTGATGGGTGTAAGGAATAAGGTTCTTTGTCCAATAAATTTTGAATGAACAATCTAAAATTTCTCTAATCTATCGTCCATTTGGTAAGCATGTGAAATATTTTGTCCAAAAATCTAATAGCGATGAACATACTGACTTAATTTTTAAAATTTTATAGTTTAATAGCTCAATTAACACGAAAATTAGTTCAAAAATTTACTTTATAAAATTTTCGAGTTTAATAATTCAATTGATACAAAAACTTCGTTAAGGAACTTAATTGACACAAGAGTCATAGTTTAAAGACTATTTGTGTAATTTATTGTATTACAAATATTTTTTCCCAATCGACATTATTATTATTATTTTGCAACACTAAACTTTCCAAGACAAAGTTAGAGACAATAAATTTCAAATACTCATAACTACTCAATGCGAATATGTAAATTAGATGATAGAATCGCTAGCGAAGTTCGATTTCATTTTGAATCTATGGTTCATCCTAAGTCTAATCTCACATCATTGAACTACTCCGTGCAAATTGACAATATTATTAATTTGTTTTCATCTAAAATTTTATACACTAGGAGTTGATCTAACCATATAGAATTTGTAAGAATTTCTATTTTTTCTTGCTTAAAAAACAGTCAAGAACTTCTAAATTTTCATTCGAACAAGTAAGTCGGTTATTATCGCCGTATACCATTGTTGAATGATTTTTCTCATTAAAATTATACCACATGTCTTTATACAATTATATTTAGTAATTCATGTATAGGAAAATACCTCATGGTTGGAAAGTTGCATTCTAAATGGCATCATGAAGTGTATGTGTGCGTAGAGGATTCATGTAGTCGAATTTGAAAATATTAATAAAATATATAATATCAAATAGTGCATGCTTCAATAAGNATGAAGTGTATGTGTGCGTAGAGGATTCATGTAGTCGAATTTGAAAATATTAATAAAATATATAATATCAAACAGTGCATGCTTCAATAAGTCAATTCGATAGTTTTAACTAGACTCATTTAACGGCCAACAACATTTTTTTAGAATCATTCACATTGCATCGTGCCTTCAACCACTGGCTTCTTTTAGTATAATGACGAAATAAGATTCAAATAACCGACCTNATAGTGCATGCTTCAATAAGCTAATTCGATAATTTTAACTAGACTCATTTAACGGCCAACAACATTTTTTTAGAATCATTCATATTGCATCGTGTTTTCAACCACTGGCTTCTTTTAGTATAATGACGAAATAAGATTCAAATAACCGACCTTAAAAATATTATAACAAAACTATCATAAGTTGAGTATAAAATTTCAGAGTAGAGACAATCCATTATACAGTAGAAGTTCATTGAATTTTCCTTTTTATTTTTTTTAAAGGTAAAGTTTGCTGAAATTTCACAACNCTATTATACAGTAGAAATACATTGAATTTTCCTTTTTATTTTTTTTAAAGGTAAAGTTTGCTGAAATTTCACAACCATTCACGACTGAAATATAGTTGATTTGATTTTGGATAAGATGTCATTTTCACCTTAGTCTTCTGATGAAATTTCATCAACGTGGTGATAAGTTTACAATTGTTGNACCATTCACGACTGAAATATAGTTGATTTGATTTTGGATAAGATGTCATTTTCACCTTAGTCTTCTGATGAAATTTCATCAACGTGGTGATAAGTTTACAATTGTTGTTGTTCTAATCAATTATGTCGGCTTCTCTACTCCATGTTTTGGTTTATAATTCTAGATTGAATGGATCATACATGTGAAATTTTATCATTATATTAATTATAACTCGTGACTGAAAATACGATCTCATTATATTAAATAATAATTTTTTTCTTTTAAAATTTATTTTTACCCACTATTTTCTTCAAAATATTGGCAAAATTTGTTCAAAATATGTAATTTAATAAAATTTTNAGCATTTTGCAATGTCTTAGCATAAAAATTTGGACAACAAAAGATCTGTGTCCTCTCAACTTTCTCCCTTCTATAGTCTGTAGCTTGCTCATCATTTAAAATTAAACACCTTGACTAGTTATTGCCAATCGCCTCATTGAGCAGAGATATATAATCTCATGTACAAAACCCAAGTCACAAATGTGGCACAACAGGAAACAACAGCAATCGCCATAGATGACAAATAATTTTACCCAATACATTGGCGCTGTTTAGTTCCATTAGACATCATAACAGTATAACACCATCCCCAGCCTGGACAAAAAAAGCAATTGCCCAGGTTGGCCCACCGATCAAAGGCGTGTGAAGGGTAGACTACACACAGATGTAAACCTGAACCATTTGGCTGCCCTCAGACTTAAACTAGTGTTCAGACCCTTGACAATCTGTGTGAGCACAAAGAAAATTCCATTCTCCTGAGCTGCAATTCAACTTTCTGTGATCTTGCTTTATCCCAAACCACTCTCCTACTGAAGACAAAGACCACCACAGACTAATAAACATGAATATCCACATGCTAAAAGTATGTCTGCTTCAATCAACTATGGACTTAAACCTCACATGTTATAGTTTTTTTGCCTTAGACATTTGGAGGCCCCAAATTCTGCCTCCATATAAATCATTCAACACAATGTTTTGTATTATCATGTGTCAGACATTCAACACGGAATAGATGTAAGAACTTACAAGGACTCCCTCCCTGACATCCTCAACAAGCATTGGAAACTTTGTGCCACTTACTGACTGCTTGGCCTGATTTCTCCGCTTCTCACCTTTGGAAAAAAGAAGCCCAAGCTCTCTTTCAACTTCACTGCTACAAAAAACACCCCATGAGCCAGGTTAATAATCTCAGGTCTAAATTACTTTTTACCATTGTGGTTTAAGCCAGTGATACTTTCCTTCGTTATTTCTTAGAAACGTACACTTCATCCCCTTAAGGTTTATGACTAAAGTGCAACAGTTAACACTTAACAGGGCTAATGATTTAGTATCCAAAGACAATAATATCCTTATCTTTTTCAGGTTTCTAGTATTTTTTCTATGTAAATTACTTTGTTAAAAACATACATGATACTTAAAAAGAGAAGAGAGAAAATGAAATCAATTTATGTTAAAGATGAACGAAAAAATATATAATGTGTATCATTGTAGAAAGTCATTTTATCCAAACTTTTGCTTTTTTAACCATCGATTTTAACAGAAATACTCATGGTGATACTTTATCCAAAACCACAAGGGGTGAAGTATAACGTTTCAAATCATAGAGGTAACGTGTCACCAACTATTGAAGGGAAAGAATAAAAACCAAACAGACCTGCGATTTCTTCGAGTTTTCATTGTGCACAACAGATTTTCCCTTTGGGTTAGTACATATACTGGTTTTGAAGTTTCTCTCCATGGATTGGCCTCCAATACTAGAAAAAAAAAAACTGAATAAAGAACTTTGCAAAGTCTTGCAGTTGTAGAAAGAAAAACAAAGATGACATCATGCACTAATGAGACTTCTGCCATATACATTTTTGCTAGAGAGAGAGAGAGAGAGAGCTTTATTATTTGGGAATAACCTACTGTTCTCCAACACACAAGGAATTCTGGCCGGTTAAGAAGCAGTCATCGTCACATTTGACCCTAATTATTCATACCATTCATTGCGTATATGTGCCAATATAAAAATTAAAGTTTTGTGTAAGATAACAGAAAATTGAGATGTTTTATTAAAGATCTATTGATAGTTGGGATAACAACATAACGGACTCTCCACCTCCTTAACTCAACAAGCTAGTACCAGTACCTAAAGGCTACAGATATGTCACAGTGAATGATACAACAATCATTTTAGAGAATGTAAACTTATAAATTGGAATTTATAACCTTATAAATTGCAATTGCTTAAAAAACACATTAAAAAAAGTTTAAAAAGTGCAGGACCACACTGCAAATGCAATTTAAACGGGAAGTACAGAATTTATTTCAAACATTAATATTTTACATTCCTTTAAGTCAGTCCCCAAGCTCCAAGAGAAAATTGACGCAGTACCTCATTTTGATGAGGCGCATACCATGAATGCAACAAAATCTTCAAGATACAAGTGCATAAACTTATGATACAAATACCTCTCAACACCATGAACTTCTAGTACAAGTGAAGACAAAACAATCTGTCTGAAACTGTCAAGATTCAGTTTTATTCCCACTGGCAGACCATAAAAGTCCATGATGCATCTCCATGGATATGTATGCCGCTTATAGATGGATCATGTTTCATTGACAAATCTGACNCTGTCAAGATTCAGTTTTATTCCCACTGGCAGACCATAAAAGTCCATGATGCATCTCCATGGATATGTATGCCGCTTATAGATGGATCATGTTTCATTGACAAATCTGACCTAGTTGTATAGCAAAGTGACAATGAGGCCTCTCATTGCAAACTCAAGTTGATCCATTCATCTGATGATCTGAAATTTTTTTAACTATATAAACCCCACCCCCCAAAAAAAAAAAAAAGTGGGGCAGGGGACAGAAAGAACCTGACTGATCCAGTCTTTCATTTCCATGGAAAGATCATTTCCTTCAAGAGTGCATTCAACTATTACATCAAAATATAGCTACACCCCCGTAATTTCCGAATTTGGTGAGCAGTTCAAGATAACAATACAGTCAAATTATCAGGTGGGCAAGCTGGTAGGCATCATCATCTCATAAAGCAAGGACTGGAAAACATATCTATTTAGTAGCAAGAGTAATCGAATGAAATTTGTATCTATTCCAAATGCAGAACAACTAACAAAAAGGGAATCAATTGGGCTTACATGAGTTTTAACTTTTAAGGAATCAACACAAAATAGATGATGAAACTGGAAAAAGGAGAAAAATGTAGCAGATAGCACATAATCGTAGAAAGGCTCAATTTAATCATCTTCACAATAACCGATTCCTAAATAATTAACAAGCTCAAGGTATCAATTAATCGAATAGGGAATGAGGTTAGAAAGGAGTAAAATAGATTTATTACCATCGTAGCTGCTGCTATCGAATGTCTGTTCTAAATGTCTACGCATGTTGTAAGCGCGCGAAGAGACTCGCTTAACGAATTCATCGGAAGTCACCGGAATTGTCCCGTCCATGTGAAGTGCCCTCTCCACCTCCTCATCTCTCCCATCCTCTCCATCTTCTTCTCTCTCCTCTTCTCCCCCGCTGCTCAATTTACCAAACACTCCCATACACCTTCTCCTGCCAGATTCCATATAGTACGGCTGACCGGAAAAGGAGGAGAGAAGACGCTCTTGTTTCCGGCATGAGAACGGGAGGCCGATCCGCCGCCAGCGATGGTGGTGGTGGTGACGCAGGGGATTTCCAGGAGGAAGGATGATTGAAGGCGAGACTGATGAGAGAGAATCCATAAGAGGTCACTCTCTCTCTGTCTTCTCTCTGTGCTAGTGATGAACTATTTGAAGGAGAGAGAAAGAGCTCGGGAAGGTATAGGAGCCGTGAAGGACAGCGTGACGGCTGTGGAATCCAATGGAGGTAGGAAGGAAGGAGGGAGAAGGTAGTTGTTCTGCGAATCTCTCGTGTATCAGATTTTGAGTTAATTATGGCAATCAAGCCCCAAACTATACTTTATATCAATTTGACCCCTAAATTATACAAGTTACTCAACCTGATCAGTTAGTCCAAATTTACCATTAATTTTGACAAAAACTCTCACATAACCCTAGAACTATACCCTAATCATTGACTCACGTTATGTGCGTACGAAGATTTTTATTACAATTAACGGCAAATTTAGACAACAGGGTTACATTGAGTTAAATTTAGGGATTAAATTGATATAATATATAATTTATGGGCTTGATTAACAAAAATGATATAATTTAAGGGTTAAATAGTTAATTAACTCAGATTTTTTTTTTCTCTTCTGATTCCATGTGGGTCCCGAGGAACTGGATCTGTAGAAACGGACGAGTCACGAGTCAAACTCGGAACCGCATAATTTTTGTAAAACATCAAATAATTTTGTTGTGGAGAAATTATTATGAAGGGGAGTGGCCGTCCACGTTGAAATTTCATACGAAATATGGAAGGACAGCGGAATTTACCTTGCCTTAAAATAGTCGAAATAATTTTGTTTTTAAGAAGATCGGAACGAAATTCAATAATCGAATCAATGACCAGAACGAATCAACAAGATGTTTTGAAATACCTCCAAGTCCTTCAAAATATTTCAACATATTTCTACCGTTATTTCGAATAATTTTAAAATATTTCAACATATTTTGACTAATATTTTTAAATATCTTGAACATAAATTCCCAATTTTTTGCCATTTCCATTATATTTTTGAAATGTTTTTATTTCTCAAACAACCGATCCAATGCATCGAAACAAAATTATGATTATTGATCCAATAAAATCTAACAAAACACGTTGATCTTGACAAATTAGGATGAACTATATACAATTCCTTGAATCAACGTAACCCTAATTGAATCATTCATAATTTTCCAACAGCCTCTCAAGAGAAAAAAAACTGTTGGAAACACCCAGTAAAGCTAAGTACTATCAAGAGAGAGAGAGAGAAAAACCGTGTATGAACTCACAATAGGAAGATACATATGTTGAATAAATGAGAAATATAAGGTTGATGATGAGCAGTTATATGCAAAAATACAACCAATGTCTCAACTCGGGTCGAGGCAATTATGGAGCCGACGATCCACTTGTTCTTAGTCATCCTTCTAGACATGGCAGACAAGATTTTCTTACTCTTGTCAATGGCATCATCTACACCATTAAGCTGCAAGACAATGAAATTCCATCAGTCCACAAACTGATTGATGCTGCACTGTGCATGTGAAGTGTAGTTCCTGAAAGGAAAAGGTTCTGAGAGATAAGGGTGTAACTTTGGTGGGTCAACCCGAATTTAACTCGAAAAAAATAGAATTCAAGTTAAAATTTTTAATACTTAGGTTGGACTTGGACAAAAAAATCTTAATTCGAATTGAATTTGGGCAAACCTCGGATTGAGACCTCGGGTTGAGACCTTGGGTTGTAGGGTTGAACCCGAATATTAAAATTGGGTTGAACCCGATTATTAAATCTGGTTGAACCCAAATATACATAAATAAATAAATAAATTTAACTAGAATTAGTATTTATCTTCGCTCTTTAGAGTTTAGACTTTCATTTCATTTCAAGTTTTCACCTCTGCTCCACCATCACTTCTAGATCCCTCTCTCACTCGTCACTCATCCCTTTCTCACTCTTTCTCTCTTTATTTGTGTCTCGTCCTTCATCTCAGATCACTTGTAAAAATCATATTTACACTTGAAAAAATTAAATTTATACTTAAAAAAATCAACCCGAATTAAGTAACTTAAACACAACCTGATTTTTAACTCGAAATTAGTCCGAATTAAATAACTCAAATTCAATCCGAACCCGCCCGTGTTAAACTCGGATTGTACTTGAGTTGAGTACCTCGGATTGAGGCAGGATTAGGATTAGAACTAGAGTTGAAAATTATATATCTGGGGCTAGGCTAGGACTAGTACTAGGACTAAGGTTAACTGCCAAACCGGCCCAAGTTGCACCCCCGGTGAGAGAGTCATTGTAGTAAGTGACTTGTTTCTTGTCCCTAAAGTATTAAGACCCGTCTCACATTGATCTCCATTCTACCAATTGTGTAAATTTAGCCCCTAAAGCTTCCTATTCGACTCTAAATGGTCCGGTGAAAAATGGAGGTTTAAATTTATCAATAGAACTGCCCACCAGTGTATCATATGATTGGATACGTGACCATTTCTGCTAGCAGTGTTAAACCGCCTTTTAGATTAGATTAGTTAGAGCCAAGTTCAAAAATTAAGGGACCAGAGTTGACATGATTGAAAGAATGAAAACCAAAGTGAGCGAATTCTTTAGAGATGATTGCGGTTTTTCACCCTTTGTTTCCAGAAGGGCTCCTATTTACTATGGAAAGCAAACTTAACTCATGATGATGACAGAGATCAGACATGTCTTTGAAATGAAGTACCTTCTTATGAGAATGAAGGAGAGTTTCACGTTGTTGATGCAAATCTTCAAGGATCGAGACACCAAGCTCTTCTCTCTCCAGCATAGTTCTCCTGCTTTCTTTGATTCTGTCACTTGGCTGGTTCAATCTCTCAGTTGACATTGCCTGTCTTTCTCTTTGATTAGAAGCAGCCTGCGTCGTTGTGTCAGTCAGAAAACTCCACATCAAACACAAACAAGATAAACATCCTACCTAAATCAAACTAATAGTCATGCCACATGCGCGTGCGCGCGAGATAATAAAGAGAGAAAGGTGCGCTATTTCCGCCATGTGAAAGATAATGAAACAAAAATAAATCAAAATTTTAGTATTTCGAGGTGATTTATATTTTTTTCAGTTATTTTGAAAATTTTGATATATTTTTAAAATATTTTGATGTATTTTATTATATTATGGTATATTTTGTCTAAAATTTTAAAAATAATTATTAATTTTTATTCTACTTTTGAAATATTTTCGAACTAAACTAATAAATTGAAACAAAATTTTGATTATTACCTATATAGTAGGTCAAAATAAAATTGAATGAATTTAATTTTTAATTAGTAAATATAGACATGATAAGTTTAGTTACTAATGAGGTAGGTATAAATGAGGTGAATTTAATAATAAAAAATAAAATAATTAAATAGGGTGAAAAATAATATTTAAGTGTGAGAATAGCCCAACAAAAAAAAGGGGGTGTAAATGAAAGAAAGAATGGTAGTTTAGCCCCCCAAAAGATGGAGATAGCGACGAAGTATAATTGTAGAAGTTTCGAGTTCAAAATTTAATAATGTTTTTGGGCCGGACTACAAAGAATCTACTTTTTATAAACTTTTTAGTCTTTGCGTGGATCAACTATTTTTTATTGGATCGGAGAGAAAATTCGTCGAAGTGTGTGTGACTTGATTCGGACTCCCCTAATTATTTTAATAAAAAAAATATTTTGATTTTTTATTCTCATATTGCACTTTTAATCACATAAAAAAGATAGAAATACGGTCCATTTTAATAAAATTAAATATTAATTTTTTATGCAAAATAGTTAAAAGTGAGTGATATATAAAAAAGTGAGCATAAAAATTTTAAAAAAAATGTATAAAGATGACAACTTAAAAATAAGTCAGTTTTTTTTTTAATCACACAAAAATGTGTCAGTTAAGGCAACAGATTTGTTGATTTTGATCACATCGTTATTTTTTTCTCTACTTAAGGTTACAATTTAAAAAATTAATTCTTATAGGGTTTTAATTAGGAATCTCAATATCTTTCGGGATGTAAAATGTATATTGATTGTTGAATTTAAAAAAATGATCAAAATTTCATTTTAAAACAGTCGAAACGTCTCCATTTTCAAAGAGATCGAAACTAATTAGTAATAGAATCAAAATTTTAAGTAGTTCGAGGTGTTTTATAATATTTCAAGATGTTTTGTAATGTTATAAAATATTTGCACAATTGTCGAAACTAATCAATGATTGAATTAAAATTCTAAATATTTCGAAGGACTTCATAATATTGCAATATGTTTTGTAATCTTTTAAAATATTTGCACAATTGTTTCAAAATATTTCAAGATATTTTAGTATATTTCAACTAATTTTTTTTTAAAAAAATTTTCATTCTATTTCTGAAACGGATTAAAATATTTACAAAACATGTTGAAACATTTCCGTCTCCCAAACAATGCACGAGATCAAAATTTTGATCTTTGATTCAAGTTTCCAACATCCCTTTCTTTTTTCTCGGAAAGTGACTTCAAAACCTTTAATTGCATTGCATTGCATCCAGATGTATGAAGCAACAGCATGCTTAGTAATTTAAAAAAGACGAGCAGCCCAAATAACATAGCAGAATGTTCAACCACAAAGAATAATCCATGAAAATCACAAAATATCTCTACGAAACATCAGATCATTTAAGCTGAGACCGAGTTCATGATCAAGTCTTCCAAGAAATTCCAAGGTTTAATTGAACTCAAGAGTAACTAGCAGCTAATCAACCTAGAAAAATAAAGCAGAGACAAATAGCAGAGATTGGTTCCATCAAGCATAAATCCCAGACAGGAAGAACAGAGAGTTGCTCTACGAGTTGGAGGAACAGCAGCAGCAGCTAGAAAACCGGCACCGAAATTCTGAACCTCAAGCCATTATTTTGGCAGACCTCACATAGAGGCTATCAACGACCTTGCCCATATTTGCAATGGTCTCCAATGTTGCTGGGTAGATCGCATCTGTCTTTGGATCTTCAAAAATGATGAGGCATCCAGCACCTTGGTCTAAAGTCCCAGCAAACTTCTTATCCAGGATCATCTGAGATAATTTCTTCTCCACATGATCGGCAGGCAATTCAATTAACTCAGCAATATGGGCAATCTCAACCCTCGAGAAAGGCTCAATCAACCTGCAAAGATTCTGCTCAAGCAGTGTGTCATAGAGGGAAGAGAGGTGCCTGTGGACAATAGGGTCTTCCTCTAGCTGGGCCCTAAAATTGCGGAGAGCAATCTCGAAGAGCTTCAAAGAGCGTTTTGAATGAGCATCAGCAACGGCTTTCATTGCATCAAGTTCTGGCCCCTGATATTGCAATCCAACCTTGGGTGATGATATTATTCCTGCTACGTCATCAGCCTGGCTCACCATGATTTTGCACAACAACATATACTTGAGGCTATATATGGCTTGGGGATCTTCAAGAGCATTGAAAGCTTCAAACGCTTCAAAGAAATAGCTGTAACCAGTTTTATAATCCTTCTCTTCTGCATGCAGAATCCCGCTCTGCAAATCTATGGTGCCCTGCTGAGCCGGAGGCACATAAATAGCATTGGCTGCTGTTCTTGCTGCAGTAAGTGCAGCCTTGGCTTTCGGAAGATTTCTCAGAGAGAAATGGAGCTTGCTCTCCAACAAGTCTATCTCCACAAGAAGCAGCTTGTCATCTAATCTTCTCACCTCCTTGATCAGGACCGAAAGGAGGGTCAATGCTTCAGAGTACTCCTTGCTTTCCATTAAAAGAGCAGCAAGCCTTGCCTCAATTCGTTGACGAAGAAAAGTTCGCTTCTCAGAACGAGTCCACTGCACTATTTCTTTGCAAAGAGAGATCTGGAGATCAGATGTGCCTGGAATTTTAGCAACTGCATCAATAATACCACGAACTATTTTAGCAGTTTTTGCCTTTGGGATCAAGGAAAAGAAGGGCCGCAATTGGGTCAGAAGGTTTTGAAGTTCATCTGCCTTGTTCTCTTGTCTAAGAAGGTCAGAGAGGTTAGAAATTGCTTGTTCTTTTATTCGTAGGGCTTCGGAAGAAGATGAAGGTCCATCAAGTATGCGATAAAGGATAGAGATGGCCTCAGATGGGGTTTTGGCTTCTGAAGCCTGAACAAGGGAATCGGTGGTTGCTGGGAGATATGATGAAGACATGGTCACAGCTTCCAAATGTCAATCCCTGCAAATTTGGAGTTTTACGCTTCAACTTGCATTGCATAATTAGATAAGCCACATTTGTTTCCTAAAAATGATGCAAAAGTCTAATGTCAAACACCCATATCAGCTATTGACCAAAATATAAAGCCAGTTTTATATTTACTTTATCTTAAAATTTCCCAAGTGAGTCTTTAATGAAGATAATGCTTAATGCAAAAATCTCAGCGTGAGTTCCACAATCAATGTCCATCATCATGATCAAACTTCTGTTAAATAAATGAGATGAGCATGACCGTTTCAAGTAATGGTCCATATTCTGAATCTGTGGATTTGATGATCTATAACCTGAGGTGGTAAGTTATTTAGATTTCAGTTCAGTAAAGGCAGTAAGTCATTCACATTTAAAGTTTAGTACAGTATTCACACAGACAAACTACATCCACCCTTTTATAGGAGTATAGTCAACGCCATTCACAATTGGAGTAATATGAAAGATTGTGTTATAGGGCAAACTTCTATCCCTACAGACTACAGGATCTCCCACCACAGAGTGCAAACTCTAAGCTGTGAATTCATTCCAAGTCTAAGTAAGAGATTTTGTTGTCATGTGCACAGCAAAACCTTAGCTGGGTCGGAAACGTAAATTAACAGCTCAGAAGTAATTTATGTTGTTATTATTAAACTTTATTTTAAGAATTTTAATTAAACTCCAATCAAACCTCAAGCTGGGAATGGAAACAGATTTAACTGAAAGCACCATAGTGGAGTTTCTGTTAAAAAAACAGTGAGGTGACAATAAGTAATAAGTTCCCTTCCAATTTTCAACTTTTCTCCTTCATCTTAGAATAAGTAAATGTTATGGACTATTGCAAGCCAACCACATAAACACTCTCCAACAAGCTATGACATGTGTAGACATTTACCCTTATTAACTCGGTACTCTTTCCAGTAGAATATTCTTGTGCTAATTCACAGGCTTAACACAATAACACAACTCAACCTTACTCGTGTAGCTAGAACAAATTATTTCTATCACGCAACTGAAGGAACTAACTTCTCAAGTACAATAACAATTATGAACCACATTTAGGGCTTATGTAGCCAAAACAGAATAAAGAATTGTATCTATTCTCTCATTGAATTCTCTTTCCTACCCCAAGGAAAAAAGAAAAGGTTGAACATAGGCAGCACGTGTTTGCATTGCTTAACTACTAGGAAACGTTTCGGTATAGGAAAGTTCCGTAAAACACTATCCTACATGCTATGATTCCAAATATATGCAGACTAATGCAACCCACGACTGGGTTTTAAGGTGACCAAGTTCAATTTCTCCTTGTTTCTACTTTCCATAGTTCATTATGACTCTTAAATTCTTGTATTGATTTGGACTTGGATACACCTATTATTATAGCGTTGTTTTCTCATATAGTTCACTTCCGATATATATCAATTTATATTATTGCTATTTGACAGCTATTTTCTTGTACAATTTACCATCTACCATTCTTGTTTAACCCCAGTTATGACATCCAAATTCTATTTCTTATTTATTGTCAAAGAATATTTTTTAAAACTCACCACCAATGAAGATTTCAATCACACTATAACATTGTGGAACTCGCTATGTAATCATATGGTGGAGTACATGTATAACTAGTACTCATGAGCAATTTTGGGTTAAGCTTAAGAAAGCTGTAGAAAATGTGGCTCAACTTCACAAACAACACCCTATGATTTTTGCCCATATTGACAACACTTTGGATGGAAGTGGCATTAAGACACTATTATCTAACAAGTTTGAATTGGACAAGATAAGTAATGTGACCTTTCAGTTGATAGTTACCTTGAGGGTATCACTCTCAAGTAATCACCTGCTATTTATGAGGTTGGTTTTCGTTTACAGCTGTTTTATAATTTTCCCTAAAACTAGGACTGATAAAAATTCCTATTTTAAGTTTACTCAACATGATTCTTAGTGACTAACTAGAACTATCATCACCATCTATTTTCCAATTTAGGTACTACGTGTTGCATTCAAAGATGCACTAAAGAATGCAATTGCAAAATGACAAAGGATTATATATGGGTGGCACTTTATAGTGGCCCCATCGGTTGAATTACCTCCATTAGGTGCAGTTATCAGGTATTTATGACAATAGAATTAAATAGATTTTGTTCAATACAAATATAATTGGCAGTTCATCTAACATTTGTTACCAACCAACAAATTTTTTTGCTTATGTNAGCAGAGATTGGTTCCATCAAGCATAAATCCCAGACAGGAAGAACAGAGAGTTGCTCTACGAGTTGGAGGAACAGCAGCAGCAGCTAGAAAACCGGCACCGAAATTCTGAACCTCAAGCCATTATTTTGGCAGACCTCACATAGAGGCTATCAACGACCTTGCCCATATTTGCAATGGTCTCCAATGTTGCTGGGTAGATCGCATCTGTCTTTGGATCTTCAAAAATGATGAGGCATCCAGCACCTTGGTCTAAAGTCCCAGCAAACTTCTTATCCAGGATCATCTGAGATAATTTCTTCTCCACATGATCGGCAGGCAATTCAATTAACTCAGCAATATGGGCAATCTCAACCCTCGAGAAAGGCTCAATCAACCTGCAAAGATTCTGCTCAAGCAGTGTGTCATAGAGGGAAGAGAGGTGCCTGTGGACAATAGGGTCTTCCTCTAGCTGGGCCCTAAAATTGCGGAGAGCAATCTCGAAGAGCTTCAAAGAGCGTTTTGAATGAGCATCAGCAACGGCTTTCATTGCATCAAGTTCTGGCCCCTGATATTGCAATCCAACCTTGGGTGATGATATTATTCCTGCTACGTCATCAGCCTGGCTCACCATGATTTTGCACAACAACATATACTTGAGGCTATATATGGCTTGGGGATCTTCAAGAGCATTGAAAGCTTCAAACGCTTCAAAGAAATAGCTGTAACCAGTTTTATAATCCTTCTCTTCTGCATGCAGAATCCCGCTCTGCAAATCTATGGTGCCCTGCTGAGCCGGAGGCACATAAATAGCATTGGCTGCTGTTCTTGCTGCAGTAAGTGCAGCCTTGGCTTTCGGAAGATTTCTCAGAGAGAAATGGAGCTTGCTCTCCAACAAGTCTATCTCCACAAGAAGCAGCTTGTCATCTAATCTTCTCACCTCCTTGATCAGGACCGAAAGGAGGGTCAATGCTTCAGAGTACTCCTTGCTTTCCATTAAAAGAGCAGCAAGCCTTGCCTCAATTCGTTGACGAAGAAAAGTTCGCTTCTCAGAACGAGTCCACTGCACTATTTCTTTGCAAAGAGAGATCTGGAGATCAGATGTGCCTGGAATTTTAGCAACTGCATCAATAATACCACGAACTATTTTAGCAGTTTTTGCCTTTGGGATCAAGGAAAAGAAGGGCCGCAATTGGGTCAGAAGGTTTTGAAGTTCATCTGCCTTGTTCTCTTGTCTAAGAAGGTCAGAGAGGTTAGAAATTGCTTGTTCTTTTATTCGTAGGGCTTCGGAAGAAGATGAAGGTCCATCAAGTATGCGATAAAGGATAGAGATGGCCTCAGATGGGGTTTTGGCTTCTGAAGCCTGAACAAGGGAATCGGTGGTTGCTGGGAGATATGATGAAGACATGGTCACAGCTTCCAAATGTCAATCCCTGCAAATTTGGAGTTTTACGCTTCAACTTGCATTGCATAATTAGATAAGCCACATTTGTTTCCTAAAAATGATGCAAAAGTCTAATGTCAAACACCCATATCAGCTATTGACCAAAATATAAAGCCAGTTTTATATTTACTTTATCTTAAAATTTCCCAAGTGAGTCTTTAATGAAGATAATGCTTAATGCAAAAATCTCAGCGTGAGTTCCACAATCAATGTCCATCATCATGATCAAACTTCTGTTAAATAAATGAGATGAGCATGACCGTTTCAAGTAATGGTCCATATTCTGAATCTGTGGATTTGATGATCTATAACCTGAGGTGGTAAGTTATTTAGATTTCAGTTCAGTAAAGGCAGTAAGTCATTCACATTTAAAGTTTAGTACAGTATTCACACAGACAAACTACATCCACCCTTTTATAGGAGTATAGTCAACGCCATTCACAATTGGAGTAATATGAAAGATTGTGTTATAGGGCAAACTTCTATCCCTACAGACTACAGGATCTCCCACCACAGAGTGCAAACTCTAAGCTGTGAATTCATTCCAAGTCTAAGTAAGAGATTTTGTTGTCATGTGCACAGCAAAACCTTAGCTGGGTCGGAAACGTAAATTAACAGCTCAGAAGTAATTTATGTTGTTATTATTAAACTTTATTTTAAGAATTTTAATTAAACTCCAATCAAACCTCAAGCTGGGAATGGAAACAGATTTAACTGAAAGCACCATAGTGGAGTTTCTGTTAAAAAAACAGTGAGGTGACAATAAGTAATAAGTTCCCTTCCAATTTTCAACTTTTCTCCTTCATCTTAGAATAAGTAAATGTTATGGACTATTGCAAGCCAACCACATAAACACTCTCCAACAAGCTATGACATGTGTAGACATTTACCCTTATTAACTCGGTACTCTTTCCAGTAGAATATTCTTGTGCTAATTCACAGGCTTAACACAATAACACAACTCAACCTTACTCGTGTAGCTAGAACAAATTATTTCTATCACGCAACTAAAGGAACTAACTTCTCAAGTACAATAACAATTATGAACCACATTTAGGGCTTATGTAGCCAAAACAGAATAGAGAATTGTATCTATTCTCTCATTGAATTCTCTTTCCTACCCCAAGGAAAAAAGAAAAGGTTGAACATACGTGTTTGCATTGCTTAACTACTAGGAAACGTTTCGGTATAGGAAAGTTCCGTAAAACACTATCCTACATGCTATGATTCCAAATATATGCAGACTAATGCAACCCACGACTGGGTTTTAAGGTGACCAAGTTCAATTTCTCCTTGTTTCTACTTTCCATAGTTCATTATGACTCTTAAATTCTTGTATTGATTTGGACTTGGATACACCTATTATTATAGCGTTGTTTTCTCATATAGTTCACTTCCGATATATATCAATTTATATTATTGCTATTTGACAGCTATTTTCTTGTACAATTTACCATCTACCATTCTTGTTTAACCCCAGGTATGACATCCAAATTCTATTTCTTATTTATTGTCAAAGAATATTTTTTAAAACTCACCACCAATGAAGATTTCAATCACACTATAACATTGTGGAACTCGCTATGTAATCATATGGTGGAGTACATGTATAACTAGTACTCATGAGCAATTTTGGGTTAAGCTTAAGAAAGCTGTAGAAAATGTGGCTCAACTTCACAAACAACACCCTATGATTTTTGCCCATATTGACAACACTTTGGATGGAAGTGGCATTAAGACACTATTATCTAACAAGTTTGAATTGGACAAGATAAGTAATGTGACCTTTCAGTTGATAGTTACCTTGAGGGTATCACTCTCAAGTAATCACCTGCTATTTATGAGGTTGGTTTTCGTTTACAGCTGTTTTATAATTTTCCCTAAAACTAGGACTGATAAAAATTCCTATTTTAAGTTTACTCAACATGATTCTTAGTGACTAACTAGAAATCATCACCATCTATTTTCCAATTTAGGTACTACGTGTTGCATTCAAAGATGCACTAAAGAATGCAATTGCAAAATGACAAAGGATTATATATGGGTGGCACTTTATAGTGGCCCCATCGGTTGAATTACCTTCATTAGGTGCAGTTATCAGGTATTTATGACAATAGAATTAAATAGATTTTGTTCAATACAAATATAATTGGCAGTTCATCTAACATTTGTTACCAACCAACAAATTTTTTTGCTTATGTTCTTTACTTCTTTCTTTAGAACTTTAAAATCTGTTCCATGCCCAAAATACTAATTGATCTTGAGCAGGAACATGATAAAGGAAGATCTTGAGCATGACATGATAAAGGGAAGGAGCTCACTGTCTATGGGTGTTCGGCTGTTCGCAAAAATAATATTGTTGTTGATTTAACCAAACAATGGCTATAACTCTCACTCACTTCTTACTGTACAATTAAGTGAAAAAGAACTCTAATCTAATCATATATTTGTTTTCACTCACTCACTCACTTTGATTTCTTTTCACAACCCTATCATGTATTTGTCTAAAATAGCCTACACAGAGCAGTGTGCTTATTTTAAAATTTGTTAAACTTCTTTGGAGAAAAATGACCAAGGACTTGTACCTGCAATATTTGGCCCTCAACGTTCTCTTCGAGGGATTTCTTAGTCACAAGTTGTTCTTGATATTTGTATTTTTGTGACCATTATAATCAAGAAAAGAGTTGTTCCAGTTAATATTCAAAAACATTTTGAACTACTTGAGCTTATATGGAAAAGAATTGCATGTTACACAATGTATAGTAACCGGTGAAAGCAATTTTGTGTTGGGATTCATACATACATTTGTTATTATAATTGTTTGTTTATTGCAAGATATAGGTTCATGTGCAACGCACGTGTGCATCAACTAGTGTATCCAAAGATAGACACTCCGCATATATAGAGTTAAACCCTAAATCATCACATACAGTAAACAAGACCTCCACTTTATAGATCATTGAAAATTAAGAACATATAGATTCACAAACACCATTCTTTAAAACAAATTTACACAAAGCCAAAGATTAATATATGGATCTATTTTAAAGAACTGAGATATACACCAATGGGATACGAATTCAAGAGCTTGAGAGCTCTAATCCGATTATCTCAATAGACCAAGAAATTTCCTGAAAATCTAAGCAAGATATAGGAAAAAAAGGGTAAAAGAAAAGTAAAAGTTATTGATGCAATTGTACCTGGTAATAGAATGCGTCAGATCGATGAATCACACAGTGAAAAAAAGCGGAGAGAGAGAAGCTAAAAACTGCCAATAGTCGGTTTGAGAGGAAGAAACTGTGAAGAGAGAGAGAGAGAGAGAGCTGATTGTGTTTCTATGAAGATTTGCTTTCGGTTAGGTGATATATTACCACGACGCGAATTAGCCGCTGGTGAAGACAATGGAGAGAGATGATGGAAAGGGAGAGAGACGGATCGTAGGAGAGGAGAGGAGGGCCTGGTCCCTGGACTCTGGAGGCGGAGGCTGGCTGATAGAGGATAGGAGTAAGTTAGGGCTTCAACACGAAAACTATATATCTCAATGAAGACCACCCATGCTTATTTTTCCCNTCTTTACTTCTTTCTTTAGAACTTTAAAATCTGTTCCATGCCCAAAATACTAATTGATCTTGAGCAGGAACATGATAAAGGAAGATCTTGAGCATGACATGATAAAGGGAAGGAGCTCACTGTCTATGGGTGTTCGGCTGTTCGCAAAAATAATATTGTTGTTGATTTAACCAAACAATGGCTATAACTCTCACTCACTTCTTACTGTACAATTAAGTGAAAAAGAACTCTAATCTAATCATATATTTGTTTTCACTCACTCACTCACTTTGATTTCTTTTCACAACCCTATCATGTATTTGTCTAAAATAGCCTACACAGAGCAGTGTGCTTATTTTAAAATTTGTTAAACTTCTTTGGAGAAAAATGACCAAGGACTTGTACCTGCAATATTTGGCCCTCAACGTTCTCTTCGAGGGATTTCTTAGTCACAAGTTGTTCTTGATATTTGTATTTTTGTGACCATTATAATCAAGAAAAGAGTTGTTCCAGTTAATATTCAAAAACATTTTGAACTACTTGAGCTTATATGGAAAAGAATTGCATGTTACACAATGTATAGTAACCGGTGAAAGCAATTTTGTGTTGGGATTCATACATACATTTGTTATTATAATTGTTTGTTTATTGCAAGATATAGGTTCATGTGCAACGCACGTGTGCATCAACTAGTGTATCCAAAGATAGACACTCCGCANACATGAAAATTGGCTAAAGTTAAGCTCGAACATTCAACTCGGGCATCTGGACTTAGACCACGCGACTCATGATAAGTAACAAGGAACATGCAAGTTGTAGACCTCTAGTAATGAAGTCTTCGTGGGAGTGACGAAGATGACAGTTGATCCCCACTAGAAGGTTGCGCATAAATCGCAATGGTCTAACATTCATGCAAACGAGCCATAACTACCTCAAGATTATCCACAAGAGAGCATCAGTTGCAAAGAAAAGATCGCGCTAGGAAATTAGGCAAGGCCTTTGAGGGATATAAATAAGGGACAAATTCCTCACAATATAACTCAAACAATTACTTGTGCAAATATCCAGTGTAATTTTCTCCCTTAATCAATTGAAAACTTCTCTAAGAGCAAAAGACTCCATTAGAGTGGATTAACCGATCTCTCGAGTTAGTAATCTTCTGATTACTGTTCTTTAATTCCACGTTGTTCAATCCCCAAGAACCCAAAAGCTCCGACCAGACCTTCTAGCGATTTCCAAACTTTTAAATAGCGCACCTCTACTCAACTGTGCAGGACCCACACCATCAAATATATTTAGTTTTTTTACTTGTATCACTATATATTCAAACTTTTCGGTCTTGGGTACTTATTGAATTTTTATATATCAAATATGATTTCAATAAAATAAATAATCATTGCACTTTTATCCACCAT